AACTGTGGCAGGCCTATATACTTCCAGAAAAAACAATGGTATTCAGCCTGCAGGCAGTAACACCATGCACTTCTGTAGCACTTTCCAGAGGCCATCAGCATTATTTTAAAAAGTTAACGAACCAAGCCTCAAAAAACCTGTGAGGTAGGTACTGTTCTCACTATCTTACAGGCTGAGACAAAGGCAAGAAGTCTAAATCTTTTGCCCACGGTCTTCCAACACATCCACACCCACACCCCTGCATACCCCCCCAATGGCAGAGGCTGCTACACCTATTACCAGTGCTTTCAGATGTTTGATAAAGGTCTTTCTTACTACAGGTACTTTCCATAAAGTCAACTGAGTTTCTGGATTAGCAAAAGAGGAAGATAAACCAATGCAGGTTTTATGTTCTATTTTGCCCATTATTCCAGAAGAAATGAATTAACAGAAGTATCCTATAGGAAGAGATGGAAAATAAAAACAGAGTTTCAAATGAGTGACACTAACATCACAACAGCTAAGAATGCAGAATTAATTTAGGCTAAACAAGATCCAACAACCAAGGTAAAGTTACAACTTTGTGCTGCTTTTTGTATGTAGAAAACTCACTGTATTAAAGGGAGATAGTTTGGGGAGGCAGGTGGAAAGGGGAAGGAACTTCAGCCCAAGAATAAGCTTTGCAGATATATACTAAAAACCTGGAAAAGGACTACTTACATAGAGATTTCTGTTCCCTTCCCCTTCCTCCAACAAAGGAAACATGAAAGTTATCAAGCTTCCTAAGATTCAAGTCCTTCAGAAAGAGAATTGCAGGGTTCTCCTAGAGCCTAAGATTTGAAGATTTTTTCCTTTACAAAGAAAACAAGGCATGTTGTGGGAAGAACTATTTGCTACCACGGTCAGGGGAAAAATAAGAAATAGAAGGAAAAAATCAGACTACTAAGATGATGGCGTTTCTTAATCCTTCCCAGCAATAAATGGTTTGGATGGACCATTTTCAAGAAACCCCTGGGAATTAGAGTGTTAGTTCGAAGACATTCTCTTCTTATGTAAAGCAAAAGAATAGTAATCTACTATTCAGTGATTAGTACAGTGCAAACAGTTTTATTCTAAATGTGGCCAGAATCCGGTTTAAAAAGTGTTTTTGGAAAGGACAGCAGTTAAGACCTTTTAGTAAAACCCCTCAAGTCTGATGTGCAATTACTTGGAAATAAAGATCCTTAATGTCATAAGAACAAAAATTACTGTTGGGGATAAACTTCCAAGATATAATTACTATTATCAATTAAAGGGCAAAGCCTGACAGAGCGTGCTACCCAGTAGAAAGAATTTTTTTTAAACAACAACATTTCGGGATTAATAAATGACACTTTCCAATGCAATTTATTCAATAATAAAGCTAACATAGAGGATTTGGTCACTTGGAACAGAAACTAAATGTTAAAGGGGAAACTGTAGTAAATCAGTGAAGCTGTGACTTCAGCAAGCTAGACAAGGGACTTGAGCAAGAAGGAAGCTGCTTTCCCCACTGCACCTCTTTTAAATCGAAGATGCAAGAACTATATGAAGGCCCAAAGAAGATAAACTGTTTATTTGGAATCTCTCCTTGCTGAATGAAAGGATATCAATGGTGAAGGGAAGAGACTGCCTACGAGAAGAAAAAAAGCACTGGTCAATTAAGAGCTGTCCCAACAAAGGCTTGCCAAGAGTAAACAATTAAGATACTAGCAAAGCAAGTAGCAAGGCCTCTTCAGCCACAAACAGGGAAGAACCAGTGAAGCTATACAATGAGGACTAAATTAAGATTACTTTTAGTCTCAACCCCAAGAATTAAGCTATTTGCCTGCATTTTCACTAGCAAGGAAACAAATGGACATTGGTACATCACGAAGGGAGGAATGTTGATGAAATAAGAGAATGAAAAAGGGAAGTTATTCTTTTCCTCTCAGTTTTAAGAAAGCTTATTGTTCTCCCCCAAACCAGGGAGAATAGAGTTGTGAAACTAGTACATACAGTAACATGCCTTAGACCCGTAATTTGTTGGATGAAAACAGAGTAGCACCTCTCAATAGTAAGCCTTTCCGGCCTGCTATCAATAGATAGTACAAAAGACCTAAAACCTAGCTTTTAAGAAAAGTAAAAGACATGGGAGAAAAAAAAAGAAAAAAAAAATCAAGTAAAATGAAAATTAATCAAAAGTAGAGAGTACCAAACAAACTTAGCAGGCTTTCTTCAGTAAAATAACTGATTTTTTTAGTACCAAGAAAATATAATTCATTCAACCCAGCTAGATTTCACAGCCATGATATGGTACTGAAAACTTAGTTCAAATGGAACAGATTGTGATTACTAGGAGAAATGCAGAGTAGATAAACTTGCTAAGGAAAGGATAACAGTTACTGGTTATGGAAAGACATAAAGAGCTAAAAGGATGTTATCAGTGAAGTTCCTCAAGCCAGGCCTTTCTGTTAGTGACTACAGAAAAAATAAGAGCTCGTGGATGAAATGAACATTAGGAAATCATCCACTGAGAACAGATTTGGGACACAGCACAAAATAGTATCGACTGAAGCAATTAAAAGCCAACAGGACAAAATGCAATAGGCCATGAACCTGGTAAGATTATTAAAAATAACTTACTAACACACTTACTGCTGGAAAAAATAATGGACTCAGTGTACACACAATAACACTATGCATTTCTGTCACGCCTTCCAAGACAAGTCATCAGCACCATTTAAAAAGTCAGTGAGCTAAGCCTCTACTAGCGTGAAGTAGATAACGTTCTCTACCGTCCTTCACGTTAAGAGACTGATGCAATTAGTCGGAAACACAGGGAGAAAGATCACTGTGTATTCACCGCAATGCATCACATGTAATGCAACAACAAAAAGAAAACTATAATCCTAAAATATACCAAAAATATATCCAAAGAGGAAAAAGCATACATGCTAGACAAGCAGACAATGATAAGAACAAACTCTTCCAAAGCAATACACATTAATTTTTGCTTCCCGTGTTCAAGATAAGTAAATTCTAAGCTACAGAGAAATGTTTCCACTCATCATGATAATGGAAAACCTAAGAGCTCAGCTTCTTCACATGGACCCTAAGGAAAGAGGACTGTTTTGTATGCATATACAAAAAGATCTTTAGCAGGAAGAGAACTACTCTACTTAAATGCATAGGAACAAAGGAAAATTAGTTGCAAGCAACATTCAAACTTGAAAACTGAAATTTAGATTCTAACGACCACAACAATGGTATGCCAGAACAACTTTCTAAAACTAGCAAAAAAGCTAGGTTAACTAATTGTTATTAAAACATGTAACCTCTTTCATAAGTGATGAAACTACATCATAGCTGCTCAAGTCAAATCAGTCTCTGAGTACTTTGAAGTTCCTTTGCAGGTTTATGTTCTCCTTTGCTTTAAGGAACAATCTCCGATCACAGCATGCTTCCATGATACGCCAAAAAAAAAAATCTACACACTTTCTGCGAAGTTGGGAGAGGTTCCTGCAGATTTGGAGGAATTTATTAAGCCGGTTTTTTAAAAAAAAAAAAAAAAAAAAAAAAAAATCAACAGGGCTTCTACACTGCTTCCAGAAGAGTAACAAGGGATCAAATGGTAGGAAGGGGACAAGAAATAATTAAATTAAGAGTAAAATATTTATTAAAAATGTTTCTACCCTCCTACCATCCAAGTAGGAACCATCCACCATTCAGGAATCCTGTATTTGTCTTGAAAGATAAACATATCAATGAAAAGATCTAACAGATCACCCACCCTACGGATGCCTGAAGTTATATAAAAAGGCTGTATGAAAAGTATTTACAGCTGCCTTTTTTTTTTTTTAAAGGAAATTTTTCTTAATAAACATCCTGCAAACTCAGTACTGGCTTCTACTTGGACTACTAGACCACTATGCTTGCTTTGCTCTTCAGGATGTGCTCTTACATACTATTCAAAGGTGGAACCTCTCAAAAATTTCAAAAACATTTCAGTAGGATTACACACTGATTGATTCAAAAATAATGCATCTATAATTTATTCTAAGTCATTCTGTATTCAGATGACTACAAAACCGGATCTGAAACCAAAATCCCATATAAACCCAGCAAAACTAGAAGTTCTCTTCAGACTTTATGAAGGTCACAACATAAGAAACAACTATTTTTAAATCTCTAGGTAACACTGGAGATTACAATACATTGTCCATATGAGCAAGCAGTATGC